GTCAGGGCACATCTCTTAGCGGCAGCCTTGCCAACCCTGATGGTTCAAGTGGCCAGTCCAGAAAAGTCCCGAGGTCTCTCAAACAAACCAGGTCCCAGTTCTTGCAAAGCCAAAACTTGTTCCCTGTTCCCTTGTGGTCGCGTGGCTCCAGAATCTGGTGCCTCCAGGGAGTCGTTAAATGTCACAAGACTTGGCATGGCAGAGAGTACTGCCCGGGAGTCAGAGTAGCAGGAGCGGGAAGACTCAGCTCTGTGGAGCTTTCCCGTGTAGTTCTCAAAATGTGCTGCAGTATCAGAAATTCCAGGGCCTTTCTCAAGGGTGGTGTTCACCCCAGGACAGATTTCACAAGGTGGCAGGCACAATTGCCATGCCTGGATTGCAGCGAACAAAAGACAAGATACGTTAGGGCAGGTACGTTAGGGCAAGTATGTTTGCCTTGGCAGATCTTTAGGGCTGGTGTTTTTGTGCTTGGTGGAGGAGCTAGCACCAAAGCTGCAGAGCGTGTGGTCTTTCTAACATAGGATGGTGTAAGCAGAGGGACTTGGCTCCACCTGGGCAACTCACAGGGCTCACTGGGTCTGCTCAGCCCCGGTTCCAGCTGAGGGCTTGGGCTGCCAGGTGCTGAGGATCTTGCTCAGCTGTTGTGTGTTGCATCCTGCCCTGACCAGAACAACAAAGGGGAAGGGGTGTGGGGGGCGATGATGAGAGCCTCCACGTGTCCCATTTTCCTTCCTTTATGGCTGGCTTCATCCTTCACCCAGGGAAAGCGGCTTGCTGATCTGTCGAAGCGCCTCGGTCTGTGCCATGTGGTGTACAGTGGCCTGGAGAATGTGAAGCAGCTGACAGGGGGCCAGCTGGAGGTGCTCCACTTCGATGGCAAAGGTGAGGTGGAGGAGTACTTTCAGAAAATTGGTGTTCACATGACAAGCGTCCGACTGCCGTTCTACTTCGAGAATTTCCTCTCCACCTTCAAGCCGCAGAAGGCCCCGCAGGGAAATACCTATGTCCTGGGTAAGATGGGACCTCTTGCTCTCCAGGTTGCTGTCCTGTAGTTCTCATCTGCTCCCACTGTGCAGAGGCTCACTGGGGGGTGGTGAAACCAGCAGGGCTGCAGACTGATGGGGAAAAGAGGCCTGTGCCAGCTTGACCTCAGCAAGTTGCCAGCTGCATTATGGTCCTTCAGACTTGTTTGGTGGCCTGCAAGAAATAAGTGAGATCCTGGTTGTGTTTCTGGTGCCGAGGGTGGCTTTGCAGATGCCAGAGTGTCTCTGGACATCCCAGCTCCCTGCAGTTGGGGTGTCAGAGGTGGGGCTGCAGATCTAGGCGAGTGATGGTGCTGCTCTGGCCGCTCATGGTCTCTTAGCTCAGCGCTGCAGGTGCTTTCATGGCTTGCCACACTGATAGGCGCTCTTGGATCTCCCTCACCTTGTGTTCAGAGGCTGGGTGCGGAAACTCCAGCTGTACCTCCTCAGAGCTGGGCTCCCTCAGGCAGGGCTGCACTCTGACGGCGATCAATCTCTCCCATACAGAGCTGCCCATGGGGGACACCCCCATGGATGGGATGGCAGTGGAGGACATTGGGCCTGTTGTGCTTTGCCTGCTGAAGTCCCCGGGGGAGTACATCGGCCAAGTGATCGGGCTCAGCACTGGCAAGCTCACTGAGGCGGAGTACGCCGCTGTCCTCTCCCAGCAGCTGGGCAAGACCGTGGAAGCCAGCAAGGTAGGAAGGGTCCTTTGGTGTATGTGATGCTCTGAGGTGGGGGAAGCTGGTTCAGGGCCCTGCAGCCCACCTTGAGGTGGGAGTGGGGCAGCGGGTGGATGATCCTTGCACCTTCCTAACAGCTAGATGTGCCGCAGGTCCCTGCCCAGGCCCTGTATGGAGGCTGAGCGCAGACAGCGGTGGCAAAACGAGTGCTGTCCTGCCCCAGCAGCGCGGTCGGGAGC